ATGCTGACAAGAACCCCCTAAAGCCATTTTCATGCTTCAGACTAGGTTCTGCCAAACAACTGCACATGTGACATAAAGAGTGATCTTTAAAAAAAAAAAAGTGAATCCAACTATTTCCGGTCCCTGATTTAAGATTGTCAGTGGCTTCCTAGCCAATCCCTTTGTGCTGGCTAAACAAGGTCTTTATCATCTATCTGGTCAGTCTGCTCTTCAATCTCCTCTCCTCCCACTCCACTTGGCATTCCACCCTTCCCTCCTCCTTTCCTACTTGCCAGTCACACCCAGTTCTTTTGGTTCTTAGAACATAAGCTCATTCTCACCTCAGTTTGTTCTGCCTAGAAGCTCCTGATGTTTGTATGTTGCCTGTTCCATTCCACTGTAATATAAGCGTCATAGGAACAACTACCATGTTTATCTTATTTACCACTATTAAACCACTTAGAGGAGTACCTAATGTGTGGTATATGGTCAATATGTACTTCCTGAATAAATAAAACTATAAAGGATTCCAAGTTTCAAGGGTAGGACTGAAATGGCAGAAGATGAAAAATTATTCAATCATTAATATAAACATATTAATATAACTAACACCAGGATCTATTAAGACTTTGATGTTGGTCTTCAACCAGTAGGTTTCAATGTGTGTGTGTGTGTGTGTATATATGTGTATATATATATATGTATATATATATATAAAATCTATCAACAATATCCTTGTTGAGATAGCATGCTACAGTTTCACAAGATATTATTGAGAAAACTGGACAAAAGATAAACATGGTATCTCTGGTATTTCTTACTATTGCAGATTTATCTACAATTACCTTAAATTTTAAAGAATTCCAACCTAAAAATACTATTCATTCAGCCTGATTATGTAGTATCACCTCAAAGTATATTCTTCCAAAGAATGTTCTCTGGTGATAAAAGCTCACTTTTGGAATTTAGAGTAATAAAGGAAGTTTCTGTTTCCGGTACGTGATGTATTTTTCCTGCAGCTGAGAACATTAGACTCCGTTCTTAACCACACATAGCACCTGGCCCATAGTCTGTGTTCAATAAATATTTATTCAGTGAGCTATTTCTGAGAAAGCCAAAATGACCGAGGCACAGACTGTGAACTCCTAACAGTGTCTGTCATAGCATTCCAAAGGGAAAGACACCAGCACCAAAGACAGATCTGTATAAAGAACTCTAAACTGTTCACGTAGCACTTCTCAAGCAATGTCTAAAATACTGTTGACTCTTACCCACATATATTACTCAATAGTTACATGCTAGTTGCATTACATATTCAAAAGGGACACAAATACTTGTAGATGACCTAAAAAAAAATCCCATTCTTTAAGTACTGAAATAGCCCTGGTCTAACATATTAGGGCCCTTTCTAAAGATTAATAAATCTGTGCTTTGGGAAAGACAACTGCATCAGGAAGTAATTAAACACACAGCCTACTTGACCTGTCAATTCTGGTCAAGAATGAAGTGTTTGAATCCTCTAGTTGTGTTTTTTTTTCCTTCTATTTAGAGAACAGCTAAAAAAAAAAACATGCTGTTTGATCCATTAAGATTTTATGTAGTTATTCATGAGAGAGAGAGGGGCAGAGACACAGGCAGAGGGAGAAGCAGGCTCCATGCACAGAGCCTGATGTGGGACTCGATCTTTGGATTTCAGGATCACACCCTGAGCTGAAGGCAGACACTTAACCGCTGAGCCACCCAGGTGTCCCGAATAGCATGCTTTTGGCCAGGGTTATTGTGTTCGTTCTGTCAAATAAAATCTTTTTTTTTAAAGTAACAGTGATTTTTTTTTTATTTAAATATTTTTATTTATTTATTCATGAGAGACAGAGACACAGGTAGAGGGAGAAGCAGGCTCCATGCAGGGAACCCCACGTGGGACTTGATCTGGGGACTCCAGGATCAGGCCCTGGGCTGCAGAAGGCACTAAACCGCTGAGCCACCTGGGCTGCCCAGATAAATAAAATCTTAAAAAATGTTTTGGGGACTAACATCCTCTAAAATAATATCTGAAGTATTTTCATTTCACTTCGTTTATCATTGTATAACCTACAATCCTCAAATTACCAATTTAAATGGATTCCTTACAATTTGGATATAAATCAAGTTCTGAACATTTTGCTTTTATCATTTGTATAACCATGATCACTTCCTCCTTTACCCACCCCACCACAGAGTAGCTTTATCCCCACCCCCCCACCTGTCTAAACTGAGTCTAAACCAAGTCCAGTGGCTGCCACCCTTGAACCTAGTTAGTAACACACCAAGTATTCAGTGTAACACAGGAGTTGATTTAAACAGATAAGGAACAGGAAACCCAGAGCTGAAGTAAGACTGGCTCCTGACATGCCCCATTGTTCCTTGGCATACTAAAGCACCCATCCCATTAAGTGACCTCCTATCTCATCTGGACTAAATACCAAAGCTGAATGCATCTCTTTAAGGCACATGTAGCCTCATCCTTGAATTTCCAGATTTCAATCACCATTGTCCTTTCTCATTTCTTTTCTCAAGCAGCAGCTTTTCTAAGAGTAACTAAAGAAAAACAGGTTTCATTTGAAGGCGGTACTTGGGAAGACTAGTGTATATCCTCCTGTGCTGCGCAGAAGAGAATTTTTTCAAGTTTAAATTGAGCAGATTTATCATCCCTTAGTATTAGCACTGTCCCATGAATGAAGAAACTAGATTAACAAGCAACCCCCCCCACCAAAAAAGCCCAAAACAACAGGGAAGCCAAACTTACAGTTCATGCTATCACAACACCATTGTAGCATCTAAATACTATACACAATTAAGTCTCCTTTAGAACTTCCCTCTAAAGATGAACTACTTTTCTGCCCCTAATTTTGGCTTTGACCCTAACACTTAGCATCTATCAGAACTTTTTTTTTTTTCTTCTAAACCTTCAGGTTGCAAACCATAGCCCTACTCAACCACAGAACTAGACCATGAGGAGATCCCTGGGTGGCTCAGTGCCTGCCTTTGGCCCAGGGCATGATCCTGGAGTCCTGGGATCGAGTCCCACATCAGGCTCTCTGCATGGAACCTGCTTCTCCCTCTGCCTGTGTCTCTGCCTCTCTGTCTCATGAATCAAACACAAAACAAAAGAACAGGGGATCCCTGGGCAGCTCAGCAGTTTGGCACCTGCCTTTGGCCTAGGGCGCAATCCTGGGGTCCGGGGATTGAGTCCCACGTTGAGCTCCCGGCATGGAGCCTGCTTCTCCCTCTTCCTGGGTCTCTGTTTATCATGAATAAATAAATCTTTAAAAAAACAAAAAAAACCAACTAGGCCATGAATAAAAAAAAAAATCCCTTTTTTTGGGGGGGGGGATTTTTAAGTTTAGTTTGAATAATGAGGAATACTTTAACATGATACATATTTTATGTGCTCCATTGGAAAACAGCCGTCTTTAAGGGAGACTTAACCTTCAAGTAAGTTCAATTGTATATCGCCACCATTACTCATGCCTTTTTTTTAACACCCTCAAGAATGACAGAGGACCAGACAAAACCCTTGAAACACCATCTCTTAGACTGGCCAGCCTCATTTACGACAGAATAAGGACGCCTTCAGGTTAAACAAGATGGCAAAGTTACTTGGAAACTGAGCCACCTAAAACTTCTCCCCTTGTTTCAGTCTTTTTCCTTCACGTTTTTGAAACAGAATGTATGCACATAAGCAGGGTGAGGAGCCGAGGAGAAACAGATTCCTTTAGCAACTTAGCCACCCAGATGCCCCAGACTCTTTTTAAAAAAAATGTTTTTGAGAGGAAGAAATCATGAGCAGCTAAGAGCACTCCTGTCCATTTATGCAGGCTTGTGACATGTATGGAAGATGGCACCACACCAGGAAACAGAAAAGGAAATTAAAAATTCTATTCCCAGTCACAGCAAGAATACTTAGAATTTAACAATATCAAGTGCAAAACTTACACTCGAAAAGTGCAGAACATTGTTGAGAGCAATGAAAGTCGACCTCAATCAAAAGGAAAAGCTTCCCATGCTCAGGGATTATAAAACTTAACATTGCTAAAATGCTAATACTTCCCAAACTGACAGATTCAACACAATCCCGATCAAAATCCCAGCTGGCTCCTTAGGCAGTAAGCACTAATTACTAAGAAAAGATTATTCACTACTAAGAATGAGAGTGCAGGGTGGTTGGCTGGCTCATTTGGAAGAGCAAGCTACTCTTGATCATGCAGTTCTGAGTTCCAGCCCCATGTTGGCTGAAGAAATTACTCAAATAAAACCTTAAAAAAAAAATTAAAAGTACATCTCGCATTTAGGAGTTACTTTGGTTTGTGTATTAGGGTGTTAGAAATGCTGAAACAGGCATCACTGCATTAATCCTAACTCTTTACCTCTAGGGCTCTCCCAAGGTAGGATTTATTGAAAACCTACATGTAAACCATCATATCCAAGTGGGCCTGTTCTGTAATGTAACCTCATCACTCCCAGGTTAGTTTAATGGCAACACTCCCAAATCCACCTGGAAAAAATTTATGGGGTCAGTGATGGTAGCTGAGGGAAATCTGCAAAAACAAACAAAAAGGAAAAAATGTTCCTTGACTTCCTTCCATGAGGTCAGAGGTTTTAAATACATAAAAGAGAAAATATTCTAAAAATCTTCAACATTGTCATCTTCTTGTACAAATCTGCAAAACAATTTGTTAAAAAAATAGGACAAATGTTGGGGTTTATGTGAGCCACCCTATTTATACGTGCCACCTGAAGAGCTGAAACAGCATATGGTACACCCATCACACTAACAAATGGACATAGGTTATGTGCTTACAGTCCCAATAAATACCTTTCAGGTGGAGAAGCTAGCTTCTCTTTTACTCTAAAAAGACAAAATTAAGCCAAAACTAGCTTATAGGTATGCTTCTCCCTCCCAAAAGACCATTTGAAAGCAATCATTTAAAACAAAAAAGGCACACACACACGGTAAATTTATGCCACAGAGAGGGATTTATTCTTCCAGGAAATAAAACTATAGCACTCTGAACTATTTAGAGCTGCAATTCCATCCAAGATTTATGTTAAGATTTTTCTCTTCACTCAAAAACAAGACTCCAGGAAAAAAAAAAATCGCTCAGGGAAAAAAGTTGAAAGCCCTCCAGAATTATTTTGTTTACATCTGGAAATAAAGGCAGATGTTACCATTTTACACTGACAAGTGCCACACCATGGGTTCATCCACACAGGCTCCTTATACAACTCATACTGCACTTAAAGTGATTTGACACCCAGAACTCTCCCTTGAAGGCACAGATAGGCGCTCAGGACTTCCTCTGCCGAAGAGGCTCAAAAGCTTTAATTTCAAGAAGCCTATGTTAACGACAAGTGCACTTAGTGGCTATCATGTCTTCATATTCTTTGTAAGCAATTGAGCCATCTGGCTCAATGGTCAAAACACTGAGAGGGCTGTATTTGGCAGGTACACACGATGGCCTTGGCACTGACGAGTTGAGCTTCTCATGGATGATGTTCTGCACCATGGTGTGCACTGGTGAGCCATACCGATGTCCAACTGCCCTTGGACAGTCCCCTTTACAGTATCGAGGGTTGTATCTGTGTGGGGCCACGATCCAGTTGTCCCACTTCAGCTGACTAAAGCTCAGCCTGAAGTCGTGGAGCTCACACTCGTGTTGGGGGAAAAGAAAGTGTTTTAAGTATTCACTCAGATTGAAAGAAGCGGGAGCCAGAGGCTTGTTCAGTTCCAAGCTGACGGTGTCCTGACCTCTCCGGTGACGGGAAGATCTTCCACCTTCAGTCGATTCCTCTCCCATGGGACAGGCAGACAGACCTCCCTTCTGGTCAGCCCTCTGTGAAGATCTCCTTTTATAGTGAAGGGAATCCCACCTGTGATGAGCCTGAGCACTTGTGTCATTCAGATATAAAAGCAGGGACGGGGGTACCAGCAGAGTCATATTCCACGGCCCATCATGTGCCACAGGATCCTGCTGCTGGTTTCTCACACAGGTAAAATTTACAGACATGTGAAGACTTCTCTTGTGCGAGGCCACTAGAGGCCGGAGAGCAGTGGTCACATCAACCTCAAACCATTTGTATTTCTTTTTCAATTCAAACTGTGAGTTAAAGGTCAATAAGGATGGAGCTCTCTGGGGGGTCCAGCTAGAAAACTCTGGCTCTTTGATCACCAGGTGGCACAGACATTTAACGGCAGAGGGGAAAGAAATGGAATTGCTGAAAGAGTACAGCAAACCCGACTTCAGTAAGTGTTCAACGGCAGGAACACGATCCAGGTTAAAGAGCAGGTCCACAGGTGGAACAGAGCCTGAGAAGAAAAACAACCTGCCAGTAGTGCTTGCATACAAACACAACATAACAAGCAGTCAAGGCATTTGTCCTTGTCATGTGCTTTCTCCCTTCTCTTTCCCCACTTCCGCCAGCCTTAAAGAGGGGGGGGGGGAGGTGAGTCAGAGAAAATACCTGCTACAGGTACCACGCTAACTGTCAGAATGTCCAACCTAGCTATTTTATCAACAGAAAGTCTGAACGGCTTTGGTGGTGAACAACCATAGAAAATCATTGTTTCCCAATCTCAATCATTGGCTCCAAACCTAGAAGCAGCTAATAAATACTATTTTTCTCCTGGAGAGTCTCTAGAGAGAAAACTCAAACACATTTATTGGTCTTGTTAAGACGACTTTTTAAGCCCTAATGAACAGAATCAACGAAGAACTTAATGGTCTAATTGGGAACACTTGAGAATGATAACAAATGGAGGCTCTAAAGCCACTGTAGTAAGACTTCGAGAAAGGAGAAAGGTTTTTTTTTTTTTTTTTTAAGATTTTGTTTATTCATGAGACAGAAGGGGGGGGGAGAGAGAGACAGAGAGAGAGAGAGACAGAGACACAGACAGACAGACACAGGCAGAGGGAGAAGCAGGCTCCATGAAGGAAGCCTAATGTGGGACTCCATCCCGGATCTCCAGGATCATACCCTGGGCTGAAGGTGGCGCTAAACCACCAAGCCACCTGAGCTGCCCAGGAGAAAGGGTTTAAAACAGCCACAGCTGACCTGTTGGGTTAGAACCGTTTGTGTCAGGGGCACCTGGGTGGCTCAGTGGTTGGGCATCTGCTTTTGGCTCAGGTCAGGATGCCGGGGTCCTGGGATGGAGTCCTGCATCAGGCTCCTCTTCAGAGAGAAGCCTGCTTCTCTCTGCCAGTCTCTCATGCATAAGTGAATAAAATCTTAAAAAAAAAAAAAAAAAGAAAAAAAAAGAAAAACAGTTTTGGTCATGAGCTAGTAAGAATGTAGAGGGATTTTTGTTTTGTTTTGTTTTTTTAAAGCACTGCTCCTTTCTCACATAGGACTCCAAAGTGCTGGGTCAGGTTGATGACTAACACCTGGTTCTTCAGAGGACCTACTGTTCCAAATGCAGACTTCAGTTTTCCTCATAGAAAGCAGTAAAATCCTATTTAACACAATAAATACTTCAGTAGCTAGGAGATGTTTTAGACACAGTTCCAGGTCAACCTGATAGAATGGTAAGAATAAGCCAAGAGAGGTCAAAATACCTGGTTTCTAGTCTGGATTTTGTGACCCTGGATAAGAAGCCAACCTCCAGCCACACTCTGTTCAGCTTTTAGAGCTGTTAAGTCTCTTCTAGCTCTAAAGTTCTACCATAGGAGCCCACCTTATTCCAGGAGAGCATTAGGAAGAAACAGTAAGATCAAGTACCAGATTTGTTGCAATGTGGACACTGAGGATCATGCAAAGTAATATGTAATTCGAGGAGCAAGGCCCAGCTCCTTTCTAATAACTGCAACACAGACAAGTCTATCATCTTCCCGCCACCCGTTAACCAGTCTGCTCCTACACACCTGTCGCCTGGTCCCCAGGAGCCTGCGTGTGCTGGGCACAGGACGTGAAGAGCCGAACAGTGTTGTAGAGAGGACTTCTGTTGGATTTAGGGATCCCCTCCTTGGTAGCATAGGCCTTATAGAGCCTCTTCATGTAGCGCAAAGCTCTAGGTGTGCCACCTTGCCCATCATATAGAACCTTGAAAAGAGGAGAAAGGAAGCCAGATCTGTCTCTTCCATCTGGAGGCCGCAGCAATGACCAAGGTTCAGCCACAGATTCCGACTCAGCTCCAGCTGCAGCCCGAGCTTCTCCTCTCGAAACTTGAGAACCAAGACTAATAGGAAAACACAGCAACGTAAAGCAGAAAAACCAAAGGAAGAAGTTGCTGAGAAGTGCCATGGCCTGGAAGAGCTAGCCAGGGATACATTTCCCCATACCAGTTTTCTTCCTAAAAGCCCGGAAGTGCCTAGGTTGGTCTCTTAAATAAATTTTAGGTGTGGGGGTAGGCTAGGGTTACTTCTGTAATCAACCTCAAGGACGCCTAGCTGAAGACAATTTTTATCAGCTGTGCATCAAACTGCTGATAACGTCCTATTTATCTAATTTGTCCTCATTAGATACAAATGTATCTGTTATTTCGCTTTCCTCTCCCTCTCTCCCTTTTAGAGGCATTTATTTAAAACCTCTTCAGTTATTGTTATGCCAATGGACTAGTTATGCAAGCTGAAAGGCCAACAGAATTGAGAAATGATCATAAAACCACCCATTTTTTTTGAGATTAGGATTCTTAAAAAGTTCCTTAGGTACTTGCTGGGACTTCCAAAGCAAGTGGGAAAGCTAATTATTCATGATGATATGAAGGTCTGTTGCTATGTAATTTATTGGGTTGTTCCCTCTTCCTCTCCCTTCATCCTCATCACCTCCCCCACTGCCAGGTGGTTAGAATACTTACTTACTGCACATTGCTTTGGAGAGTGAGAAAAAAGTCACAACTGACATTAAAACTCCAGAGAGCAGAGAACCGTTGGGTTGCCCAATTCTCAGGGAGCTTCCTATGGATTATGTACTTGGAATCCTGCACTATGTTTTAATAAAGGACATCACTTTTAACCTTGACTCATCTTTAAATGTAAGATCTTGATCCTTTACTTTGGTCCGCACATTCATCTACATAGATTTTGGTTGAAAGATTTGAAGATGTTTGCAGGGTTTTTTGTTTTTTTTTGTTTTTTTTTTTTAAACCTAAATTCTAATTTTTAATTTAACTTGCTAGGGTGTTTTTGTTTTAAGGACTCACACGTTCTTGGAGCTGAGACAAAGCTAGAGCTGATGTTTTAGGAACAGGAGACTGAGCTGTGCCGTGAAAGGCTGACACGAGGGCTTATCCGGGGCCACCCACCCGTAAGGAGGCCGTGCTGGAAGGACGTCAACCCGCATTCACGGCACAAGATTCACGAGCACTCTGTGCGGTGCCTACTAGGGTCATGAAACTGAGGCATGCCTGCGAGTTTTCAGTTCGATTGCGTGCCAAGGCGCCCTGAGCCCCGGCTGGGAGGCAGGGTTCCATAAAACACCTGCCACCTGTTGAGTGACAGCGCGCTCCGACATCATCACACGCGGCGGGCAAGTCACAGACTCCGCGCGTCGCGCAGAGCGGCCGGGCCGGCCGCAGCCCCCCGCAGAGGGCGCTTCCGGAAATCCCGAGGCGGCCGCCGGGGCAGAGGAGAAGCGGGGGCGCACCGCAGCGCGTCGGGGCCGGACTGGCTGCGCGGCTCCGAGGTGGCCTCGGCCCTGCCCCCGCCATTCCTCGGCGGCCCCGGGGGCGCCACCGGGGGAGACGTTTCTACCCAGGCAAGCGCCCGCCCGCCAGAGGCCTGTCGGCCCGAGAAGGCCCCACATCACGTCCGCGCTCCTGGTGCTGGCGTCGCCGCTGTTCTGGAGAACGGAGCCCCTTCAACGCCCGGACTGGAGCGCGGAAGGTCGCGGCCGGAGGTCACTACATCTCTTTGTTCCCCTCGGCCCCGGCCGCTTCCAGCAGGGCAGGAAGCAGAGGGGAAGCGCCCCCGGGCCCCAAAGCCCGCTCCGTACTCCGCGTCCCGCGCCGGCCCCGCCCACTCCCGGGGCCACCGGGCACAACACTTCTCTGCAGAACCGGGAGCAACGGCGCCTCCCCCCGGAGACGGCCGGAAACTGGTATCCCCCGGAAGTGACTTCACGGCCTCCCGGAAGTGACGGACGGACGCCGGCGGTTCCCGCGACGGTGGAGGGCGAAGTGACCCCTGTGTGGGAGTGAGGTGGGTCGCGGGGTCTGGGTGGTCACCAGGGAGGGTGGGGGCGCCGCGGCGGCGGCGGCGGCGGCGGCGGCGGCGGGGGCGGGGGCGGCGCGTGCGGGGGCTGAGGCAGGCGCCCGTCCACCCTTGGTCTTGCAGGGCCGCCGCGACCATGGGCCGCGAGTTTGGGAACCTGACCCGGATGCGGCATGTGATCACCTACAGTTTGTCGCCCTTCGAGCAGCGCGCCTTCCCGCACTACTTCAGCAAAGGCATCCCCAACGTGCTGCGGCGTACGCGGGCGTGCGCCCTTCGCGTCGTGCCCCGTGAGTGCCTTGGCCGGGTCGGGGGATGCTGAGTGACAGCGGAGCCCTCCCTCGGGGAGCCCTGTCCGTGGCGCCGGCGCCCTGCAGCCTGCCCCTCACGCGCGGTTTCTCACTGGAAGCCCTCGCCCTAGTGTATTCTCCCCCCCCGCCCCCCGCCCGTCCTACAAGGGAGCAAACTGAGTCACAGACCAACACTTGGTCCTTTGTGTGGTGCCAGCGTCTCCCTCCGAGGTGGCCACTTCCCTCCGAGGTAGCGATGAACTAACTGTTAGGTGTTAGCGGACAGGGATGGCGGGAGCGCGCGCGCGCGCACACACACACACACACACACACACACACACACAAGCCACAGAAGTGACCACTAGTTGTTAAATGGTGAAGTACAAGTTACCTGAATTATCTCATTATCTCGTTAACGTTTTTTGTGTGCGTGTGTGCAATGGAAGAGAGAGGAAAGGTTGGGTGACAGATTTTCCTGGGCTGGCCCTTTCTTTCGGTCGCCTGTAAAATGGGTGTGTGACGTAACCTTAAAAGATTTGGGCGGCCTGGGTGGCTTGGCGGTTTAGCACCGCCTTCGGCCCTGCGCAGGATCCTGGAGACCCGAGATCCAGTCCCACGTCAGGCTCCCTGCATGGAGCCTGTTTATGCCTCTGCCTCTCTCTCTCATGAATAAATAAAATCCTTTAAAATTTTTTTTTTTTATCCGTGAGACACAGAGAGAGGCAGAGCCACAAGGTAGAGGGAGAAGCAGCTCCCTGCAGGGACTCCATCCTAGGCCTCCTGGATCACCACCTGAGCAAAGGCAGAGGCTCAACCACTGAGCCGCCCCCGTGCCCCAAACCTTCCTCGACCATCTGGTTTCAAAGTGGCTTCTTGGAAGCTAGGGACAGTAGGGTGGAGCGTGCAGTGAGTGGGAAAAGACTGACACCCTGGGCTCACTCCTGTCATTTTTGATTTTTAAAGCGTTCATAGCGTTTTACCTTGTCTACACATGGGGAACCCAGGAGTTTGAGAAATCCAAGAGGAAGAATCCAGCTGCCTATGAAAATGACAAATGAGCCACTCATCTGGATCGTAGTTCCCAGTGTCTGGAAGACTTGAAGAAGTAATAAACTTATTATGGACTGCACTGTTGTGATTTTGCATTTTTGTGAGCAAGTCCTTGGTGTGACTGCTGCTGCTCAAGCTCATGAACTCCCCTTGTCGCAGGAGTCCTGAAAAGTTTGGCTACTCTGTGAGCTGGGTGAAGGATTTGGGCTTAGTGTTTGTTCTATAATCTGCAGGAAATAAGTAGCAGCTACTCCTGCAGCTGGTCACTTGTGGGTGGCATCAGCTTTGCGGTTGGTTCCCAGGGGTCTGCTCCTATAGTAACCATAAGATCCGGTAACTATATTGTAATTACCATGTGTCAGGTACTCAGCCCTTTACACAAATAAGTGCTTTTAAACTTCACAACTGCCTTTGAATTAAGTATCATTGTACTCATTTTGCAGATGAGGACACAACGAGCACAGTGAGAGTAAGTAATTTGAGCTAACGAATGGTAGAGTCTGTTTCTAAAGTTTTGGCTTTTTTAAAGATTTTATCTATTTATTCATGAGACAGAGAGAGGCAGAGACATGGAGAAGCAGGCTCCCTGTGGGAAGACCGATGCGGTTCTCAATCCCAGGACCCCAGGATCACAGCCTGAGCCAAAGGCCTACTCTCACCCACTGAGCCACCTAGGAGCCCTTGAAGTTTTTGCTCCTAAAGCTGTCCTAGACAGGCCTTTCTTAATCTGAGGGGAAGGAAGTCAGCTATAAAGGAGGGGAGAGGTCTCCCCTTGGTCTCTTAAGTTAAACTGCCTGTGTTTGTACCAGGTTGTGCTCATAGTGGGTTTTAGTCACATATGGTCCATGTTTACTCTGGCCCTTTATTGAAAAGTTTACCCTGTTCTAGAGCCTTTGAATTACCTTTTTAGTAGAAAGGTAAACCTTTTTCCATCATCAGGAGATGGTAGAAGTAGGTGTTGGTAGCTTTATACTTCTGGTTCCCTGCTCCATTTCTAGAAACTTCCTCACTTCTGCAGACAACTGCTTGCTGGGCCGGAACAGCAACATTTACAGTGTAGTTAAGTTTCTGTCTGTATCTTTTTTCATATTCTAATGATTATTATCTTTTAGGAACCAGAGTTAAAATACTTCAAAACAAAAAGATGGTGCTATAAATTGCATTGAGGGGCACCTGGGTTGGTCATTCGATTGTGTCTGCCTTCAGCTCAGGTCGTGATCCCTGGGTCCTGGGATCCAGCCCTGCTCTGTGGCTCCCTGCTCAGCCGGGAGTCTGTTTTCTCCCTTTCCTTCTGCCTCCTCACTGCTCATGCTGTCTCTCAATCTTTTTTTTGTTGTTGTCTAAAGATTTTATTTATTCATGAGAGAGAGAGGCAGGGACACAGGCAGAGGGAGAAGCAGACTCCATGTAGGGTGCCCGACGTGGGACTTGATCCCACACCCTGGGCTGAAGACGGCGCTAGACCGCTGAGCCACCCGGCTACCCTCAAATAAAATCTTTAAAAAATTGTATTGATTGGGAGGTAGGATAAAGAACTTCTGAGTTGGGTGACCTTGGGTCCATACCCTTTATCCTGTGCTTCACTATATGATACAAGTAACCTGCATTCCTGAGCTTTGACCTTTTCACAGGTAAGGTAATCTTAAAACCCTAGGGTTGTGGTAATGGTGAAATAAGTGATCTGTAGGTCTGGCAGGCGTCACAAAGGACCGCTATGTGATAAAAACTCCAGCCTCACCCAGCATGGTCTGGCTCTCTTGGGCTCCATCCAAGTTTGTTGCCAGGGTTTACCGCATGTTTGTGTCATAGACTTGAGAGTCCAATGAAGCTGTGGACCTGAAGATGTAAATGTACCACCCATCCTTCACTTAGTTTGAGCAGGTTCAGGCACCAGGGGAGGGCCCTGCCTTGACGGGACATTATTCTTTCTCTCTGATTAGCCCCAAGCTTCGGGGAGATGGCTACCCTCTCCCATCTTGGCTTCATTTTACCCCAAGACTATTCCTGGTTCCTTGGTGCCTTTGGAGATTACAGCTCAAAAGCAAACATACCCTTTCTCAGCTCTGACCAGGCATCGAGTCCAGGTCTGAATCCATTTTCTCCCAGGAGCATGCTGAGAAGACCCTGCTGTAAGCCCTTTTACGTGCTGAGCTGCTTTAGAAGAAAATGGTGAAAGTCAATCCTAAGCCTGTCTCTCACCAAAGGGCTTTGTTCTGAGCTGGGGGGAAGGGGGGGCATGGAGCCTGTGTAGTGGAATAATGAAGTGGGTGGGAGGCTAGAATGTGGGGAGTTGTCCTAGCTTAGTGCTCCTGTACGTGATAGGGGATCTGGGATTATTTCAGGGACCAGTGGATCTGGCAAAATCCATAAAGAAAAAAACATAGGTGAAGTCTCAAGGAAGAAGGGGACCACTGCTGTGGGTCCCAAAGCCTAGAACCCTGCACTTGGAGCCTCCAGGCTTGGGTGTGGCTCCTTTCTCTGCTCCCGGCCACAGCCACTTACTCATTTAGCCCGTTTTGACCTCAGCAGCACCCTGCCCCCAGCAGGGCTTTTATCTCTGGGCTGTACAGGGTGGCAAAGTGAACTTCAGTTTGCCAACCAAGTTCTTGCGACGCAGGCATCGCCTGTGGAGGCCCTGAAGTCTGTGCCAGGTCCAACCAGCAAAAAAGCAAATACACTTTGACCCTTGAAGTTTTACTTGGAAAAGTTTTTCATTTCAGAGTCTTTAATTTTTTATTAGGCATATCCTGCTCAGGGATAGCAAAAAAGTCTCCAGTTACTGCCAAGCCTTTAATGGTCTCCTCTCCACCTGGAATGTGTTTCAAGCTGCTCAGGTAGCTACACCCTCTTCCTCCCATTTCATCCTACGCACTTAACAGCAGAAATCCCTGGGTGTTGTCCTAGAGTTACTAAGCTAGAAGCTATCAAACATGCTTCTCATTTCCTTCCTGTAAATTAATTAGTTGAACACCTAATGTCAGTGCCTGAGAGGCCTCAGATCTACTCCCATGTCGTTGAGAGAACACAAGACTAAAGCTCAAAGGGAAAGGGCTGGCTTGTGGTCAATTAACCTAGACCCCCCCCCCCTTGCCTCTCAGCCAGGCATTCTTTCTCCTATGCCTGAAACTGTTAAAGGCTGCTGAGACCTTTCTGCTGGAGGAAGGTGTATGTAGCTGTGTTTATTCATTCAGCAAAATACTTGACTGTGGAGAGCCCATGAATTCTTCATATTTATTAATTTCAGGAATAGGATTTCACAACTATTCAAGGGCTATGGGATGGCTGTAGACAACTGCTGTTATTTCAGCTAATACTGTCTGGATGCTACTTTGCTTTTAAAGCTTTGATTTTTGCTCCATGTTTTTTATTTTTGAAGATTTTATTATTCACGAAAGACACAGAGAGGCAGAGACACAGGCAGAGGGAGAAGCAGGCTCCATGCCGGGAGCCCGATGTGGGACTCGATCCGGGGTCTCCAGGATCACGCCCTGGGCTGAAGGCAGGCGCTAAACCGCTGAGCCACCCGGGAATCCCCTCCACGTTTAATTTAAAACAATGACAGGTAACATAGACATATGTTGAAATACTTTTCCTAACTGCTTCCTTCCTTGGACAGTAACGGGTTTTTTCTTTTGGGGATTGGGGCGGCATGCAAGATAGAGGCTCAAACCCCAGAGGCTTCCGCAGTGTTGTCACACTTGTGAGAATGAATGGTACTTCTTTCCCCCTATGCATACCATAGCCTCAGGCCCTTTCCTTGGCTGGGGTACTGGCTATATAAATGAACACAGAAGGCTACTTTGGTTTTGCTTGAAGTACAGGAAGGCAGAAAGGATTAAACATGGGGAGAAAGTACCCGTTTGGAACTAGTTTCCAAATGCCATTTGGCATCTCCCTCTCTTAAGAGCAAGCTGGCACTGTGGCCGCAGACCCAGCTGTGTCTAGGACATCACGTTGTTCAGTTTTTTATTTATTTTATTTTTTTAAAGATTTTATTTATTCATGAGAGACGGAGAGAGGCAGAGACACAGGCAAAGGGAGAAGCAGGCTCCATGCAAGGAGCCTGATGTGGGACTCGATCCCAGGTCTCCAGGATCACACCCTGGGCTGCCCCTCAGTCTTTTATCTAATCGGGTTTGTGTTCTTACCCAATGTTCATTAGGTCATCACATATAGCTTCTCCACCCCACAAAGGCTCCTAGTTAAGCCCCTACGTGGGGTGATTGAGCATCCAAGCTCAGGGGTAAAGAGAAAGCAGTTGACTCCTCCTACCTCTCCATGTTCCTTAAGTGCAAGCAGTGGTGTCTGCCTCTGGGCTTGGCTCCGCGGTCCTAATGGACCTGAACCAGGACAGACAGAACTGTGGAGTCATACAGTTCTGAGGTCCACCTTACCAACCTCTTCTCCCTTGACAAGAGGACTGGTGACCATCCTGTTCCACCTTCAATTGTGCCTCATCTCCTCCACTTCACCTTGTGGAACAAGCAGGCTCAAACTAAATATCCAACTTCTGAAAATGATAAGGGCTTTGCGAAGAGGTTATCAGTCAAGCTTTGAGAGAGACACCAGTTAGAGAAATAATCTTGTTACATTTGTCTTGTTGGCTCATTCTTCCAGGTCATAGGAAGATCTGAAGTCCTATAAATCTTCCTGAGAAGTTACACCTTTCCCTCAAATTTATTAAAATGTCCATGTGATTTAATGAGTACCCACACCTCCTCCTGACTTAGGTACATGCACTTTCTTGTTTTAGCAATCTGCAGCACTTCCTACTTAAGTTGATGGATGTTTTGGGCTGTAGTGATTGAAGTTCAGCCCTACGTTAGCTCCCCAAAGCTGCTAGAAGGCTATGCTCCACAGGGGACCCCAGCCAACTACTGGGAGGAGAGCCCATAATCCAAGGATTGCACTGTGACTTGTCACCGTCAAACAATCCCACTGGTTTAGGAGCTCCTTAACTCCTCGTTCACATTTTTAAAAACAAAGAATCCACCAGTACTCTCATTCTATTCACCCACAGTTCAAGTCCCACACCACTCATGATGGCCTTTCCCCTGGGAGAAGGCAGGTAGATCACACTTTGAACTTGCCACAGCTGGGTCCATTCTTCTAGGGAGACGATCTGGAGTAGGTAACTAGCATGACAGGCCATCTATACAAAAGGGGGATCTGCGGCACTGTTCAATCACACTGGGCTGGCGTAACGTCCCACAGAGGGGAGGTTAAGGCCCTATCCAGTTGCCTACAACACAAGAGATTGGTGCTTCTTTCCCAGACAAGGCTGAAAGGGGTCAACCTCATTATGAGAATTCTATTTTGATTACAGTGATCTCACTGAGCTATTTTGGAATCAAAATGTGGCTAGGTGCCTGGTTTCCCTCAGTGGCTTCACGTGGCTTTCAAAGGTAAGAAGGGGGTTGTGCTGACTTTTGGTGAAAGGGTCCAAGCCAGCAACACAATCATCCAAAGTCCAGATGAGGGATCAGTAAATACAACGTGCCTGAAAGGCAAGCCTTGAGCACATTCTTCTGGTAGACATTAACTTATTAAATCGACCCTGATGGCAAATATAAACTTTGCCCCATCTCACTTGGCAACCATAAAAGAAGTGAATTTCAGTCTATAAAAGGAAGTGGGAGCTGCTGCTGGATTTTGGGCTCCAACAACCTCCGACTGTCAAGATGTGGCACCTCAAACTCTTTGCAGTGCTCATGATCTGCTTGCTGCTGTTGAACCAGGTAAGAGATGGATGTGCAAAGACTGTGGTTGGGGGGAGGAGGGGACTCTGCTCTGGAGTCTACAGCCTCCTGGGGGTGATCCTTTTCCCAGGGTGTGTGGGAGGGTGTAGGTTTGCATACCTGAGGCTGATTGGTCTTCGCCCTACAGGTAGATGGCTCCCCCATAATGGAACTGAGTTCAACCAAGAGAAGGCCACGGAGAATGACCCCGTTTTGGAGAGGGGTTTCCCTAAGGCCCATTGGATCCTCCTGCCGGGATGATTCTGAGTGTATCACGAGGCTGTGCAGGTATTCTACAAACCTGAGAGCAGGGCAGAGGAAAGAGCAGCACACACACAGACCTAAGAATAAACTGGGCTGGCGATTGCCTGGGCTTTAGTGGGGAGCTCCATGGCAAATCCCCCAGGACTGCAAAACCAAGAACAGCTCCATACAGATACCACCAGAGTGGTGCTTTTCCTTTCTGCAGTTTGTCCTGAGGCTGGATAGAGGAAACAGAGGAAGGAAATGCACCAGAGGTGGCTGGCTCTGGGCACTGCTAAACCATTGTCTTAAAAACCACCTTTTCTTTTCCTTTAGAAAAAGACGCTGTTCCCTAAGTGTGGCCCAGGAATGATGTCCAACCAGGGGAAAGGAGGACAGCACTTACCTACCACAATGCTCCGTTCTATGGAATATTGATTAACTGCATTTTAGCTGGAGACACTTAAATGAAGCAATCTTGTATTTTTAATATTTAAAGACAGATATGTGCTTTAAACTGGTTTCCGTTTCTTCTTAGAATGTTATGTAGATATGCATTACTAAACTTTGTTAGAGTTTATTTTTCTATGTATACCATTAAATGTCTCAAAATTTTCACAGTCTGGAATTCAAGCTTTTTAGGGGAAAATGATTCATTTTGTATGTTACAGAAAAAGAAAAAAACAAACCCATCATTGCCTAATAGCAGACTTCTCAATCTGCAAAGTACAGTGAAAGTGAACATTTAAGAAACAAAGAACATGACGACAGGCTGAAAGATGAAAGTTTAGTAATAGCCATGTGATCTGCCTTGGCACATTCACAAGCTGTGGCTCTGAATCCTGGCCCTGCGCTGTGTCAGAACTCTTCAGTGAGGTGTCAAAGGTGGGCAGTGTTGGCATGTGCGACCTGATGATGTGCCCGAGTTTGTCTAGGACTAAAGAGAAGGCAGAGAATTGCACAAGAAACCTAGTTTAATAAAAACAATAAAAGCCCAAGCCCCCAAGAACAGCAGAAAAGACTTTTTGAAGATTTCTGCTGGAACAGGGCGAACTGTGATCTATGCAAAAGGACTCATGGCCAGCAAGTTCAGAATTTCTGTAATCAGAAAATGAGAGGTGGACTGGGGGACCAGACTTCTCAAGCACAGTAGCTACCAGCAGACACTAAGATACAAAACAGAAGTTACATGAAAAGGCAAAGTAAGAGTTGAAGAAGTTTAAAGAGCACAGTGTTTATAAACTTTAATACAGAAAATCTATTTGATATTTATTAAACTTAGTTTCTCCAGCTATGGTTTGGCATTATACAAAGCATCTTAATGACACAGTAGAGTTAAAAAGATCTTTACAAATTGAAATGTGATACCCTTGTCTCCAAATATTTTAATTGCCATAAATTTGTTTAAAAATACACATTAAACGCATGTTTGACACTCTAAACTTTCTATAATCTCAATACCACAAAATACATATAATATACTATACAGATGTGGAAAAATCTAGTTAGTATATAATACTTTGCTCACCATTAACAGCTTTATTATGTGAAATGCACATACTTAGAAATCCTAGCTTTTGAGCCCCAAAGTACCTCTGAAATTTTAATGTATTGCAACAAATAAAAATCACAGTATATAATTGAAATTTTGGTTGAAAATGTCAGATGCCTAAATATTTTGGATAAAAGAAATGTAAAACAAAGATTTGGATCATGTACAAAACAAAGGCATCCTATCAGACAGTAACAGTACCTTTCTGCAAAATCAACAAGGCTTTTATTTTATCAGTGACATTACTTCCCCTCCAAAACCCTCCCCAAATATCAAACTGTTATTCACCAAATAATTTTAATTTCAAATAAGATAAAAGGATTCAATAAATATATAAGCATTTCCATCCTCCATATACAAAATTTCTTAAAACCATCAAAACGGAGGCTAGATAGAAATTTCCATAACCACGCTAACCAACCTCACATCTGGTCCTCAAAGGTAGTGCCTTTCCAGGCATTGCCCATTGGGCCAGCTCTGTTGGTGAGCCCTCCCACCCCCCCCAACCCCAGTACTGTTGAACGCTCATGTCAATGATTTGCCAGGTGTGTGCATCAAGTTATAAAATGGGGACACTTCTTGAACAGCAACAACAAACTCAACAGTATGGATAACCATGGCATAGATATGAAAGGCAGCATTTCCAAACAGGTATTTTCCAGAGAGGAACATAGCAGGTAGAAAGTTCCAGTGGTTAAAAGCTGAAAAGAAACCCCACATGGAAGCAGTAACAGGTCAAAACTGCAGACTACTAGAATTTCTGGGTGGGAACTTTTTTCCCCCATGCTCATTTAGAGAGCTTTTTTGTTTGTTTCTTTTTTAAGAATAGCAATTTATGCTTAGCTGAGCAATGGTGGCACGGAGAGGTCAATGCTGACAGTCCCAAAGTCAGCTTCATTACATGATGTTTAGGCTGCTATTTCAGGATGCTTAAACATCTAGAAGACTTGTTTTATTAGACTTAACTCTGATGCTCTTATTCTGTGACCAGATTTCATCGAAAGGAAAAGATTTAGATATTTTTCACTGTTTTTCTAAAGATAGTGACTTCTTTTTAATTAACCATGTGGTTCAAATGAAGAGACTCAGCATCTGCTTTACCTACCGGTAATAACTTACTTCCTGTCACTTGCCAGCTTGGTTCTAGGGTCTAGAAGTCTAAACTGAATTTCTCCATTACTGAGTACAGGAAAGATAAGCACACAAAAAAAATGACCAACTTGGCCTCTTCCTCTGGATACTCCAAATCGTTTGATACTTTTCTCTTTATTTTACTGAATAGCAATCTTAGATGTGCAGCATTTATTTTTGGAAAAAATTCTGCCTCTCCAACACATTAATACATGAAATCAAAATGAAATCTGTGCTCCACATAATTAGAGGATATGGGTGATAGGAGTCTACATGAATGTGAAATGCTTTGCTTCCCAATTTACTTAGCTTAAAAAAAAAAAATCATCACAATCTGCCTAAAACAGTCATTCCCATTAGATGTTCCTGGGACCCAGAGGCAAACTCCTATAATTCAAATACATAATGAGGCCATTCTGTTCAATTAGCAACTGGAAAATGAAAATCCTTCCCACCCTGTAAGAGCCCTATTATACTACAGAAGGGCTCAGATATATTTTAAAAGTTAATTTACTACAAATCATAGTAATTAAGCTTTAACAATCTAAAAGGAATACACATTGCACCCTTGAACATTAATATTCAAGGTGTCAACAAGAAAGTGTCTTAGATCAATTTAATAAATAATGTGGAAATAGTTGCACTAAGCTAAAATACTAAACACACACATTTTTGACAAACTAATTTCATGTTTTCATACATACATACATATATATAAAGTGTGTATGTGTACATAATTTTAAAATCCAAAGCTGCATACCCTCACACCTAGAAGAGCGCACAGCATACCTCTCCGCTACACAATGAGGCATCACCGACTGGAGCGACCACTGGCTGCTCTGGAGCTCCACAGTGCTGCCAGACTCCAGAACTGGAACTTTCATTCAGAACAGGTGCCTTCTGTAGGCTCTTGCTTCACAATGCAAGCTCGCTCAATGAAGATAATTTCCCAAAGTTTCTGTCATTAAATACAAAATGATGCTTGTCTGATTTAGCTGATTAAATCTTTCTTTAATAAAAAGAAACAAACAACAATTAAAAAAACAACAACAGTGAGTCTAGTAAAGCCACAAGTGAATGCAAAGTGCAGCCCAGGTGCCTATGGATCCACCAGGGGGAGAGCTACCCAGAGCGCAGGCATGTGTGGGCACATGCACACGTTACACTACACTGCTTCTGCACCGGAGAATTACGTCAGTGAGGGTCAACCTTCTCCACTCTTCGGCAACTAGAGCCGAAGATTTATCTAAAGTACTTGTTGCTTACAAACTTAGTTCTTGGCTCCTTGCCCAGGAGAAGGTGGCACTGAGGCAAGAACTGGGCTGAGTGTTCCCCAGCCAGACTGCACCCCAGCTGGACAGTGGAAGCTGAATGGCTTGGAGGGGAGGGCCCCCCACAGCCCAGCCCAGGCTGGGCAGAACTGCTCACTGGCTGCCTGGAAAGTCCGATGGTATAGGCTGCTGCCTCCTGGCATACAAGTGTGGTTGGAAAGAGCAGTCAACAGAGTGATTTTTTTTAAATAGTTGCTATTTCTATAATTAACTATATATTAAAGTACAAGTCTCAGACGAAGTAAAGTTTTTAGCCACTTGTCAAATTCAGTTTTAAATGGTTCTAGAACACTGAAGACACCTATTGAGGAAGGAGGAATGGTGGCCTATTAGGGGAATCCAAAGTATGTGCTGGAGCAGATGAAGACACAGACAACTTTTGAGGAGATGGACAGAGGAAGGGGAGTGGTGTTTCCACAGACTATTACATTGAAAATTCAATTATTTAGGATAGGATTCTGACCCATTGCCCATTACCACCGTGGGAAAATCCCTCCACAATGAAAAGCTTGAAAAAATTCATTCCATAAGAATTAACACAGTTTAGAGAGAATTAACTTAGAACAGCACCATAAAACATGCAGGAAATTGTCTTAACAAAAAATCAGTGTGACCCCAGAAACACTCCTGCTGCCTTTCAGGACACACAAGAGATTAGAACACGCTGGAACTCAGAGGTGCCCCACTGGCTGCTGTTGCTGAAAGCATAAAAGCTCGGAGGATACTTTATACATTTCTAAGATATCACTGCAAATTAAGGAATCAGAGTAAGAGCAACCAGAGAAGGACAGGACATACATCTACTTGATTAACAGGGGCAAGTTTCTTACCAAATAACTACCCTAATCACCAAGAAGTTGTCTTCTTAAGGAAAACTGTTCCTAAAACATACTAGTAAGATTAAGTTAGAAAGATTTCAAAGGCAATTTCTCCAAGGGAAAAAGATTAACTTCAGCATAATTTCTAGATTCCAATCCCCAGTGATATGCAAAAACAGCCGGAGGTACAGAACAGTTAAAAAAAAAAAGCTCTGTAAATATGAAGCCACAGGACAAGGAAGGTTCACAAGCTTCAGAAGTAAGTGTACAAAAGACTCAAACACAGAGGATTCACTGCACCACTGGGCCTGGAAGTTCTATCCTTTCTTTCCCATTTCAAGCTTTAGCAACCATCTATGAATAGCAGGGCAATCCTTTTTTTTTTTTTTTTTTTTTCCTGATTGGATTAATTCATTTTTGGAATGGGGAGAAGGACAAACTATTTTTTTGGAGCAGCATTACCCAATCAGACTAAGTCATGTAACCAAAGCATTAACTTTTCTGAAATAATTCCTCTTTATGTGACCCTAAACGAAGATTAAAAAAGAGAATTTAACATTACTACTGCCAAAGACCAACCGTAACAGGTGATCTGGTCCTAGTGTAAAACTTCATCTGTAAACAATCCATAGAGTTTTCATTCAAAGGTAAGATTTAAGGCACACCAGACATGATAGGGGCACATGATCGGGGCATGATCGAGGGTACATTTCTCACCTTTGACTCCTATATGCACCTTACAGGGAAAGGTACTTTGAAATACAACTCCTAACAGAGTTGGCTT